GCTTTTTTAATATTGGATGAGACCCTTTGAGAATATTCATCTCTATGGCGTCGTAGAAGAGAATACGCCCACTCAATTCCGGGTAGATTATTAGTAAATTTTGGGACCACTCGTCCTTGTCCGTGGAGAAAAGCTTTTGCGAAGAACCTTAAATCTATAATAGTCAGAGGATAACCCCAGTCTGAACACTTCGCGGCTGATTGCAGTATAGCTTTTTCTTCAGATTCTGAGAAAACCGTCTGAGCGCGAGGTTTTTTTACATGCATCCCTTTCAATTTATTATATAGCGTTCCATATGCTATGTTATATAGTTCAGATGCCCCTCTAATCGAAAGTTTACCGTCCACGATTTGAGTCAATGCCTCTTCTAACTTGTGAGTAATTTCGGTACTAACGAGAGCCCAGTTTGTTTTTGTATACTCGTGGCATTATTCTGAAAAAGAAATTAAAAAAAAAAAACATAAAACAAAGCCTTGAAGCAAATTTTGCTGCAAGCGGTTGGGTTGACTTTGATCAGTTGATCAATCTTACACTATGCACATTATCAATGACACCCCGCATAAAATAAAGCGTCGCCATAATGCAACCTTTAAGGTTAGAACAATAAAATATTTTGTTATGGGTTAACGAATGCACAATACTTAATGAATTTTATCCAAAAAAATTATGATACCAACACACGCTACAATGCACATAAAGTTTTGCAACACATTTTTTTCCAAATAAATAGATAATAACGGAAAACATACCTTTTTTTTACATAAACGCAGTGATATCGCCAACGCCGCCGGAGAAATGAATTTGACAGTTCACTCAGTATTACCATGCAAAAAAAAATCTGACAATAGTAGTTCTGTTTTACGCAATTTGAATTTTTATGTGAAAAGGAAGTTTTGATCAAAGTAATCCCGCGATTCAAAGTAACCCCAGTTTACGGTAATGTATTTCTGTTGCCGCAATAATACCAACAACTTATTAGTAAAAACTTAATAGTCCTGATTAAATTAGTAAAAAAACATACATGCATACATAGACTCATATATACATTACCCTCCTTTGCATTTCGCAGTGGGGTAAAAAGGAGAATGCCCATTTTATAAGGGCACAATGACCCACTTGTATATGTTTTATGCCTTTCAAATTTTAAAGACCTATAATAGTTTAGATGTCGGTATATTAGGTACATTTAAATTCGTATATGACATACATATTTTCAAATATTATTTATATGAAAATCGACTAGATAACATATATATTTCGAGATTATTTCGTCAATGTAAACTCACAATACTCTATAAATCACCAGGAGGCTGCCGAGTTGAATTCTTGGTATGAATTATCTAGTCTATATTATTTCCATTGTGCTTGAGGATTTTTACAAGTACTTTTCTAAGAATTATAAAATGTCATATTCGTTACTTGGATTTGCTTGACTAAACTATTCTAATTATAATAAAAATAAAACAGTTGTTTTGTTCAAGTTTACATGAAGCGGTATTAATACCTATTTTATTTCCTCGTAAATGTAAAATTTTCTAGTTCTGAAATGATGGTATGCCAATTATTTTAATAATTCGCTCCTTGATTGTTTTGGAATAGTATTTTTTAAAACTTTCATACGATCATATTAAACCACTATCAGATTTATTTTTCTCTTAAAATTGTATATAAAGGAAAAACATATTTTTATTCGTTTAACTAAATTACCCCCTGTAAACAATCAGTCACGTTACATTTGCATCAGGTACGTCACATTCAATAAACATGAGTACTTCTTGCTGCCGCTACAAAAGAGTTTAAATTTAATTTAGCAAAAATAAAACGTACAATTTTATTTGAAACAAACAATACTACATGTAAACGCCATTTTTCTTTCATTTCAGATCAAAAGATAATCGCAGTAACATCTGACAAGGCAATAAAGGAAACAACCAGGTTACTTGTTATAAATACGGTTTATTACAATATCTTATAAAATTAATTACAAATAAAAATAGACATGCCGTTATCTATTCAGGGAGTAATAGAAATAAATAAAATTAGGCCTCGTTGATTCCTGTTTAAACTATGTACAAAATATACATTTCAATGTTTTTTTATAACAATTGCTTATTTTCAATGTGCATGGTGTCAATAAGACCTGCACTGTTTATTGGTGGGTTAAATTATTTAAGTAATCACGTTAAAGTACGGATGGCAGTGATATTGTCTTAATAGTGAAAAAAGCATGTTGCTTTAAACTAACTGGCAATGTGATGAGCCTCGCGAATATCTATACAAGTTTGTTTTGCTTTTACTTATAACTTCACAGTATTGGTGCTGAATATCAAAAGGCATTGTTGTTTATTAAATTGTTCTAACAATTCAGCGTAAAAACAATGAATAAAAATTGTAAAACTACTTTTTATTAAATGAAAATTGAACATATTTTTGTTTTTTTTTTTAGTATAATGCATAAATTACACTGATAGCTAGTTACTCTTTAGTTTCTTATGAATAATTTCTACAGAAGTAAGATGCTTCTTTATTCCGAAGAAAGAAAGTTTCTTTTTAGATTATTTTTTATTGCAAGAGTGGTCCTCTAAGTGTAATATAATCCAAAATCTATCCATCTGATTTTATAGTAGTTTCAGTATTATTATTACCGTTTTGTTTTATATATTATCAACTATCTTTCAAAATTATTAAAACAAGACAACAATTATTATTCTCTAACAGCGTTATTAATAAACGAGGTTTAGCATTAGAGACAATGTACGCTGAGACTGTACTTAGTATTAGTCAAAATTCATATCATTAAACAGAGACTTAGCAAAGGTTACCCTCCAATCCGCATTGGGCCAGCGTGGAGGGTCATGGCCCATCCTCCTTAACCATCCATAAGGAAGGCCTGAGCCCCTGCAGTGGGGACGTAAAAGGGCTGGTGATGTAGCAAAGGTTAACCTAGTACGAGGTTCTTCAGGAGAATTTTTTTCTCCTATAAGAAAGTAGGTTTGCTTATTCTCTGTATAATATTGCAATTTTAGCGTAAATTTACTCTGACGCTGAACCTTGTTTATAAATAGCACTGTATTAGTGTTATTAATAAACAAATTTAATTCTCGGAATAAATTTACACAAAGATCGTGAGTGCAACTTAACGTAAAAAATAATATGAATTTGGACTAATACTAAAATTGCAATTTTAGCGTGAATTTACTCTGACGCTAAACCTTATTTATTTACTGTATCAGTGTTATTAATAAACATAGTTAATTCTCGGAATAAATTTACACTAAGATCAGGAGTGCAACCTTAGCGTAAAAAAATCAAACTTTAAGCTAATACGAAGGTAATATTTAATCTGAGAAGGTAATAGATTTGTATAATCTCTGTTTAATAATATGAATTATAGCCTAAGTACAATATAAGTTAACTGCGACGTTAAACCTTATTTATTAATAACACTAATCAGCTGCAATACTCAGAGATAATATCAAGAACATAGATCTATGACTAAGTTCCCATTACAATAATCATTAATAATGGCAGACAATCATTTAAATGACCGGAATCTAAAAATATATACAACTAACGTATTATACAAAATGTAAGAGATTACATTTATTTCGTTAACTTGCAATGATCAAGATACACTGTGCCATACTCAAAGGTGCCGATTAAAAATAAATCTAATGTTGATAGAAAATCTTTCAAAAGTAAACTTTATTTTTATCGTCTAGTACTACTAGTTTTTCTTAAACACAAGGTTAATCGACATTTCTTGATTCCGATAGTTTGTAAGTAGTTTTGTCGTCCATAAACATATTTAGAACTCCTCACCTAACTCATATATGCCAGTTATTTGACTATAAACTCATATTTATCATTAATATTATTACAATCTATTAATGTTAGGTATTATAGACTTTAATACAAGAGCAAAAGGTTGAAATAATAAATTTTATTAAAATTCAAATAGATTCCATTATTATTTGTTATTCCTAGTAACAAAAACACTTAAAATAACAAATCAATTAAAACATTTAGGGTTCATAGAAAAAATACTTTTTGAACTTGGACCCTTTTAGGTAAAATATTATTATATGCCAGGACTTCGTGGGGTGGATTAGTTAAGTATACTGAACATTTACTATGGAAACAACATTGAATTTACGAAAAAATAATCAGCTGTTTCATACCAAATCGTAATACCAACAATCGTTGACAGAATGAGACAGCTGTTTATTTTTTCGCGAATTCAGGGTTGCTCCCTTCAGTATACTTAACTTATCCACTCCACGAAGTCCTGGCATATAATAATATTACACCTATTTTTTTTTTCATACAAACGTTTTGTATCAAAAAGTAGTGTTTATGATTAAACTTGTAGCGATAATCGAATATCTTTATCAGAAAATTGATAATTCATTGACATAGTCTGAGAATTAAACTGTGAGGTAATGGGGTTTATATGAATCAGTCATCTCAAGCTTTTAGTAGGCTCGTTTACGTAAATTAGCTAAAATTCGGTCTAATTTTGTTAAAAATTATAGTTACTGAGAGCGACAATAGTGTTGTTGCGAAACGATAGTTTTTATGTCGATAGGTTGCTGATCTTCTAAATCTGTAGGTAGGCAGGCAATATAAGATTCTTAAGGCCACATTATAATCACGACACTATAGCCATCATCACAACAGCACTGCGGCTTTACACCTTAACTTCATCGCTTTCATTATAGCTTCGTTTTCGTACAAACTATGAAAGTTTCATTTATTTCACGTGTAGGTACTGTAGTCGTCTATAAGGAACAAAACAATTTTGAATGAATGATATTATAGATTTGACAGTTTGGATACGAAATATGCAATAGGTACCAGTGTTGCCGTTCGATAGTCCACTATTGATATTCTAACGATGTAGATGCAAAAGCAGTATCGATAACTATCGATAATGTCGATAGTATCGATACTATTACTAGTTATCGATACTATTAGGTACTAGTGCATAAAAACGTTATTATCAATATTTCGATAGTATTAATTGAAACACTAGTAAGAGCTGATATTGGTAATACTAATTACCTATCGATATAATTGAATCTAAATATCGTCTATGATACAGATATTTTTGAAGATCAACAATTGGTGATTCTGCAACACAAATAAGAGCTGTCACTCACCGGGTAACTGCTCTTGTTGATCTATCAAAATGAAGCTTTAGTTGATCTTTCAGCATACTAATCAGGATTGGATAGATCAAAATACTTTTTGATCTACTGACAGATCATTCAGATATTCATTTTGACTTGAGACGCGCTAGAGTCACAAGTCACTAGTATCGTAAGGTGTGGGTCACACGAGCGTGCTGAGCTCGTGCGTGTCGTGGCTGAGGTCCACGGTGGCGGGGGGCACGCCGGGGGTCACCGCCCCCTCGCCCGGCGGGGTGCTGGTGGGCGGTCTGCGGAACAAATGTGTCACATTAGTTTAAGGAATTCTGCACATAGTTCATTATAGAACCTGATTATCTCTCTCGTTATAACTAAAGCCATAAATATAAAAATGTTTTATAAATTTTATCACTGAATATGTTGATATTCTTTTAATCAAACCTTTTAGTTTATTTATGTTTGCAAAATAACTTGTCTTAGCTCGAATATTTTTTCTAATTTTTTTTTTTAGTAAATAAAACTTTATATAGATAATTCGGAAATGTACAACGACCGACACTATTAAATGAAAAAGACAACGAGGAAGTAGTAAAAAAAACATTAGTTCCCGAAATCAAACTAGATGTCGCTACAGTACTTTCCTGATTTCAATCCATGACAACCCTTCCAGTTTTCTTTCATGTATAAATTTTCATGGAACATTTTTTCATTTCTGAGACTGTGCGTCCTATTTTGTTAATATCTCTGTGGGTATGCACTTATATATGACCGAGATGCATATTCGGCTTCGGAGTTATCCTATGTCGGGTGACCATAACCACAACCTTTTTTATTCCGGATCCGCGCCTGATTCAATATGGCGTAAGTTATAACGAGTATATATTCTAATAGTTGTAATGAAATTTTACTGCTATTGAATCCAGCGTGTAAAGTATTTACATTGGTATCTATAATTTCTTCATCAGAAAGTAATTCTATGTCTTTTATGATTTGAAGGAGATTATTTGTAAACATGAAATCCAAACGAAACATAACTACTTTTGCATTTGCCTGTAGTCAAAAGATTACATCTTTATAAACCATAGATAAATTTTACCTTATAATATACGGTCCTCCTGGCTGCAACAGCGTAATGGGATGCGTGTACGGCGCTCCAGCCATGCTGTGGAAGCTCAGATTCCCCACTCCCGTATTATTCAAATGTCCGTTTAACAGGACACCGTTCGATGTGTTCAGATTCGTTGTCCCGCTCGTTGTGTTCAATTCTTGCTTTCTGAGCGCTTTAACTAGATTCGTTTTCTCTTTCTGCCACACAAACACGTTGTGGACCATTGCACAGCCGCAGAATATTATGCCTACTCCAATAAATATTGAAGTGACTATTGCGGGTGTCGAGTGGAACTGTATAAAAGTGTAGAGTATTATTCCTGAAATTGAGGAAATACGATACATAAAGATTTGTTTGTCTCAAAACATCTATAACTTTTCATGAATGCAAGGATTTCTTTTTTATCAGATAACCACCGGTATTTCCGAAAAAGAAAGAAGAGTTTATGTCACCGCTTCCAGTATATGCATGAAATTTTGTCAAAAATGTGCAAGAGCCGTCTAAAGCTTGATATTTCGTTGATATCTGTATGTTGAAATATTAAGGGTATATATACATTACTCTGCTGAAATATCTGGTGATGGCATACCGCCGACCAGAGAGGTAAGTTGAGTTTTACGCTAACGCGTTCACTAGTGAGCGCGTTAAGAATTTGTAAGTGTAACTTTTACCACTCAGGTACCTAATGGTAGGTACTGACCGGGTACGCGTTCACGTGTAATTTTTTTTAATTATTAGCTATGCAGACACTTACCCGCTGCGTGCATTTTACCCATATGGCGCCAGTTCTTATAGTTATGAAATCCGATTTTTACAATAATACAAAAACTAAGTTACAACCTCTCTATAAATATTGGGTATATTAAATACATTATAATACTGACCTGTTAAGAATACAGGTATGGATATGAAGAACCCTCCTACAGCACAAACTCTCGTTATCGCTGACTTTTGAAGGTATTTATTAGATCTGAAATGTAAAAAATAAAACAAATTATACCATCTATACACATCTACACCTACTTAATATAAAAATATTATACTATCTTAACCGTGAGTATAGGGCCATTCAATTGTATGGCGAGCGATATTTTATCTTACGATATAATATTATAGCATCTTCACCGTCTGTTATGAGCTTTAAAGTTGAACTTTACGATTTATAGAATGAAATAGTGTTTGTTCTTGGATTTATTATAGTTTTTATAATATTCATTCCCAAACTACATAATGCCCTATTTCCTACTAGGTTTTGTTTGATTAATTTTTAACTGACGAATAACGATATAGCATTTCTATCCTAAAAAAACTTTGTTACGCAAAACTTGCGTCAGTCTTTGTCATATTGTGAATACGGAGGCTTCTTCTATCCTGATTTCCACATACAAGTGCAGGCGACAAATTAAATTAGCGGTTAACGTTACCTACTCATAAGTAGCTTCGCGATAACTTATCTATGACAATATTGTGAATATGCTTACATAACATTTACACGTGTCTGCTTATACCATGAAAAAAAACACTACCTACCTCTACTATACACACATACATTATTTATGATAATTGAAATATAAATAACTAGTCGTTTTGCCTTCCATTTGGATTACCTACTTTAAATTCTCCTGAGCTCATAATAACGCTAATGTTAGCGTAATAATGGCGCATCAATGGCGCTTCAATTTAAATCCTTTTTGACAAACTTCCTGTCACTAGATCACAAAAATCGCAAACATACTACATGCATACATATTGCACTAATAATACCTATTAAATCTCAGATAGTGAGTAGGTAAGATGCAAGTAGGTAATTGAGATGAGTGTGTTACGTTTACATTAGGTATCAGATATGAGCTCTTTAGCCCTTTAGAATATTACAAACCATTTCGCGATTTATAACCGATATCTTAGTAGTTACTTAACAGTGTACCACACCAACCAGACTCTAGGTAAAATAGAAAATTTTATATATTGGCCTAACTGGGAATGAGACCTAAAAGACGGCGACACTTTGAAACCGGCGTGCGAACCGCTCGGTCACGGAAGTTTAATTTCGAACTTTCGTTTAGTCTTGTGTTTGGAAGCAAAATACTTTTTAAGCTTTCCGCCAGCAACTTCGCTCTTTATTTCATCCCTTAGTGGTTGATTTTCTAAAAAGCCTTTTTTAGCTCTCACTCTCTCCCAAACCTCTGTACCAAATTTTTAGGTGCAGTAATTTCGGCTGTGAATTGATACATAGTATAAGTCAGTCAGGCAGGTATGCATTTTATTTATGTAAGATTTCAGTAGAGTCGGTACCTAAATATTTTTTTTTACATTTCCTATTTAGGAAATAATGTTGCCATCACTTCTTATCGTAATAGCGAAGTGTCATAGTCCAAAGGTTGAGGAATTCACTAGAAATTATTTGATAGTTGGATTATATCGATATGTGAAATAACTCGATGTCGAGTCGCTCGGTCGACCTAACGGGCCCGCGCACCTGTTCATCAAGTATGTTGCGACCAAATATTCCATTTATCTGTGGAAATACTCTAATGCTATGATGAAAATTTGATTATTTTAAAATTCTATACTGTCAATTTGTTTTTTCGACTATCATAATTATGGTTACATTTCTTTTTGTAGAAACTTGACCTGCTACCTGACTGTACTTAAGTATGTTCCTCAATTTATTTTGGTTATATCAAAAGAAACAGATAAAAAAGACAATAAGTAAATAACGCTTATAAAATGTATTTAATTTTGTTTTATCTTTACAGAACTCACTGCTCTATATTAAATATTAAAAACATTAGCTAACAAAAAATTTTGACATGCGTTTAAAAAGGGGACTCATTAAGATCATCCTTACAATATTTCAAGAGAAGAGTAGTTACAATAATACCTGTATTATATATGTAAAAAAAGACACTTTTACAAAAAAGACTTTTTTTCCGTAATATGAAAGGAAGTTAAGTGAAGTTCCTAAAAATAGCTTCTAACTTATCAAATTTCAATTTACATCGGGAGGATCGTGATGCATATGCCATCACCAATAGCACTGTTACAAATAGGTAAGTACAGACTACAAAAAGTACTGTTTAATTTAATGTTTAATGTTATAGAAAATTAAATAATTAAAACTATAAACCGGGTCTATCCTAAACAATTCAGAACATATAAATACCCCATAGACAGCTTCACTAATCTTGTTATTATTCTTTCAAAAGTGTTTTGAGCATTCGAATGAAAGGTCGTGATGGTTTTTAAACCCAGTCTGAGGGCGAATTTTTCAACACTATATGCATGCAACAAAAACCGATTTAAAAATAATCGAATAATGTAGTAGTATTTTCAATGTACAACCAAAAAGACATTTACAGAAGTTTTTACATTATTTGCAAGCTGCACTGTAATTTTAAAATAAACAAGGGCGTTACTCTAATTCACAATAATCAGAATATGTTTCTTCGTTTTATAACCACCGAAATCTAATAAAATTTTCATTCGTGCGCCTTTTGAATAGGTATTACCGATAAATTATAACTTTCGGTTTTTAACATCTTTCTGTTTTCACCCTTGAGTGGGTGACCCTCGATATCGGAAATGTCTGTTTACTAACGGTTGCTAACCGCAGTGACAGTTGCACTGGTAACAGTTTTGCCGCGCGACAAAGATCCAGCAACTGGACGTTCCGCATCAGCGCACCAAGACTTGTTTGATATTAAACAACCCTACGTAACTGACGTTTTGTATTATACATCGCGATAGTTTAAAAGTGAATATAATACTAATAATAAAAAAAGGAAACATTTGATTGTTTGTTTGCAATGAATAGACTCCGAAACTACTAACTACAGGTACCAGTAAAGGGATGAAAATAGGAGTGGAAATTTCTATAAGGAATCAAAACGTTACCATAGTAACCATTGCTTACTATTCAATTTGTCTTTGTAATTATATCCGTATCATGATAAGAATCGATATCCAAATAAACAGTTCCCTAGGGACTACGCCGGCGAATCCGCTGACGGAAAGCTAGTTAGATAAAAAACTTAACACGTTAGCCTGATCTCGAAATTAAAAGCGAAAGCACTTATACGGGTGCCACGATGCGACTGAGCATTGCGTATTTTTAAGGATGTGAAGTCACTTTTCATTATAATAGGTTTTCGAAATAAGAACAGATATTATTTCCATAATATGTATTTAATCACCATTTTCTATTACAGTTTTGACCTGTTTGTTCGTTGGGGGTACTCTTTAGAAATACTGATACGGTCGTGATTTTCTTTCACCTAAAAAAACTTACATTATACGCGGACGATATAGGGTACAATTTACAATGGCAAAGTCGCAGGAAAATAGTTGATTTTTAATATATCTTGTGGGCAAAGAATATGTGGGGGCGAAAAGAACCGATCATGACCCAAACTTTATTACGTTTCCGGTCATATCATCGGTTTGTCATTCGTGTTGTAACGCCAAATTGTTATGCTAATACATTGGGTCTGTAGGCCAATCAGATCACTGCCATGTAGGAAGGTTCAATAACTCGCCACACTGGTTTAGATCTGCTCGTGCATGCCCCAAATCAAGTAGATTTCAAGGTTTCCAAAGAGTATATTTTAAGTTTATAATGTTTTTAATAAAAAATAACATAAGCTTTTTAACTGAAATATTACAAATGCGTTTAGAAATTTTCCATTTCCAACAATAAAGATCACCCATTCTTATCGAGTAGCTATTGATTACTGGAAGAGGCTTTATCTTAGAAATAGTAGATGAAGCTGGTACAAAGTTTACTAGAATGAAAATCTCCTATGGGTAACTAAATCCTAAATTACTGATTTTTATCGCGTACAAATTTAAAAAGTATTACCTACTTACATTATCATGTAGAGCCATTAATTATTTAACAGTTTAGATGAAACATTGTGGTGAGTTGGAGTTTTCAATAATTAAAACTCGCATTGCCGTAGCCGTACTCCGTGACCGGGTTGTTCGCATGCTGGTTTCAAGATATTGCCACCTCTGAGGTCCCAGGTTCGATTTCCGCTCGGGTCAATGTAGATAATGAACTTTTCTATATCGTCTCGGGTCTGGGCGACCTTCGTTGTCTCAGATAGTCTATAATCCATCTTGGAAACTTAGCAATGTGTCGTTTAATATTTATTTAAATTTTTTATAGTTACTTAGATTGAAGGTGTAAACGTCGAGAAAGCTCTAACTAAGCATCAGTATTCTAGTATTTATAATACAAATGTGACTTGAATAGAAAATTTAATCAAGATCACTGTGTTTTATCGTAAACCGATCACTGGCAGAGACTTCATCTTGGACGATATAACACGTAGTTAAAACGCTACGAATATTATAAATTTTCCATTGCAGAAATAAGATTAGACATATAGATCAGTGATATAGATCGCTCATCTTTATAGAGTACTAATCACTTGTCTTACTATTTTGTATCTAACGCCGCTTTTAGTCAAAACTGGTTCAGTTCTTTTGATGGCGTTACCACCCACGGAGACTAGTTCGTTGGTGTTATTAATTCAAAAAATTCGTATATTTATTATTAGAATATTTGCGAGTTATTTCGTATGTAACAATCAAATATTTCATATTTAATCAATTAAATAATCATTTCTACTCTAAAATCACCATTAAAGAAACATAACATTATTATGATTAGTGTGTCTTTCCTATTTTTTTAATTGATGTCAGAACTCTAGATCTATTATATTTTTCTTCGAAGCTAGATTTTCCAAAAACATCGTTAAAATAATATAAATATACCTATTATTAAGTAAAAATAAAAACTGACTTCTAAAAGTTTAATAACAATAAAAAATAATTCAATAAGCATCTATTGAAATCATGCATTCCCACCTTACTACAACCGAAATTTATTGATTTATTTTTTCTTTTCTTTAGCCTTTTCTGATTTTTTTATAGTATACCATTATATTTTTTCTTAAAAAATTT